CATCCCTGGAGCACTGGCCGAGACTAAAGAGCTGGCGTATAAAACTCCCACCATGATGCGGGAGAGCCTGCCCCGATAACCCCATCCCTCATCCATGTACCGAGCCCCACCTCCAAATTTAGGGAAAGTACGAGTCCCCACGTTCCTCTGGTTTTGCTGGTTAAGTCAGTTAGCCTCCCAAGCCTCTGTATAGACCGGCAACATGCCTGCATAACCCGAGGACTCCTGGAGCAGCCCGCAGCCATGGGCCCAGCACCGTGGACTGCTCCCGGGGCTGGAAGGAAATGCCCCTTTACATGTGTGCTCCGGGGTATGACACGTGACATAGGTATGCATGCAGTGCTCAATGTCTTTTTGTTTTTGTTTTTGAGATGGGATCTCACTGTGTTGCCCAGGCTGGTCTCAAACTCCTGGGCTCAAGCGATTCCCCGACCTTGGCCTTGCAAAATGCTGGATTACAGGCATGAGTGCCCGGCCTCAGAGGTGTTGTATTCACGAGGTGAGCGATGATAAATGTTGGGAAGCCATGGATGTAGGACGGCCAAGTGCCCTGTGTGTTTCCTGTGACTGCTGTAACAAATGAGCAGTGTCTTGAGATAACACACATCTATGATCTGACAGAGGAGTGCTGCTGGCCTCAAGCAAGATGACAAGCGACAGGGCCGCGCTCCTTCCACGGGCTCCAGAGGAGCATCTGTTTTCTCGTCTTCTGTTTCTAGAGGCTCCCGGGTTTCCTGGCTCACACACCCGCTGCGCCCCCACCCCACCCACATCACTCTGCCTCGCTCTCATAAGGACCCTGTGATTACGTCATTGTGTCTACCTGGAGAACTCAGGATCCTTCATTGAATCCCATCTGCCAAGTCCCTCTTGCCATGGTAACATAGTCACAGGTTGTGGGGATTAGGACGTGGACATCATTGGGACCACTGCTCAGCCTGCTACATGTCCCTTCTCTGCTGCTCCACTAAGAAAAGTGAGAAGACCCTGCCCTGAGGCTTGACCCCCTGGGTCAGTTATTGGCTGGCCTTGCAAAGACCCTGACCTGGGCCCTGGCCTTCCCTCTTATAACATGCCTGGACACATACAGCATCCTCCCAACAGACCCTCAGATCTTCCTCTCCCTAGAGCTCTGACTCCATGGCCACCTGCCGCTCGGAAGTCTGACTGCTCTCCTGCCCACCTCGCCCCTCCACCCCCTGCAGGCTTCTCCAGCTCCCCAGAATGCTCCTCCATCCAAGCAGAGCTCACGCCCAGACAGAAGCACTCCTCCACTCCTCTCTCCCTGACTTCCCTGTTGGCCCAAGCTGCCATCATCTCCCTCCAGGGAGGCTGCACTGACATCTGACCAATGACCTCCTGGCTTCCACTCCTGCCCCCATCCCAGCCCTTTCTCCACAAGCTGCTTAGCCAGCAAGGGCACACCCTTCCTCCACGCCCTCCAATGTCCTCCCTCACTGAGGCCAAGACTCAACCTTTAATACAAAGACCTCCCAGGTCTGACCCCAAGCGACCCTCTCTGTTCCTTCACAAGACACACCCATTCTCACCTCAGGGCGTTTGCACAACTGCTCCTTCAACCTGAATTCTTCCTCTGCCTTTCCCAAGATGCAGGTGGCGTCACCTCCTCAGAGAGACCTTCCCATTCCCATCCGCATCCCTCTCACCTTTATTTCTTCAGGGCACGATCTGACAGGCTCACCTGCTTACCTGCATGCTGCCTGGCTCCCTCCACTGGAATGTCAATTCCATGAGGGCAGGGACTTTGCCTCCTCAGTGCCTGGCACAGAGCCATGCTCCAGAAATGTATAGAGTGTTACAGGTTGAACTGTGTCCCCCTTCCACAAATTCTTATGCAGAATTCCTAATCCTCGGTACCTCAGAATGTGGTTTTATTTGGAAATAGGGTCATTGCAGCTGTAATGAGCTGAGATGAGGTCATTCTGGAGTAGGGTGGCCCCCATCCAATCTGACTGGTGTCCTTACAGAAAGAGAAACCTGGGACACAGACCCATACACAGGAAGCACGCCACGTGAAGGTAAGAGTTCGGCAGCCACAAGCCAAGGAGGTTGGAGCGGGGCCTGGAACAGAACCTTCCTAGCACCTTCAGAGGGAGCGTGGCCCTGCTGCCATCTTGGTCTTGAGCTTCCAGCCTCTGGCACCGTAAGAATCCATTTCTGTTGCTCTACACTGCAGTTTGTGGTACTTTAAGGCAGCCCAGGAAGCTCACACTGTGTGAATGAATGGGCGGATGCATGCATGGGATTAGCTGGGCTCTGGCTCCAGCCTGGCTCCCTTCAACCCTGTGTCCACTTCACTGTCAGAGAGAGCATCCAAGTCAGCCACCTCCTACTTGTCAAAAATATGTTATGGTTTCCCCCTCATTGGTGGAATAAAACCCAAACCCCACAGCACAGCAGTGAGGCTCTGCACAGACCATCCTGACCCCACCAAATTTTCTAGACTCAATTTCCCTGCCTCCCTTAATCTCCTTGCATCTTCAGAGGCTGTTTACCCTTGCCAAAATCCCCCATTCTTGACCATCCTTCAAGGCCTGATAGCCCACTGTCCCTTCACGCCGCACCCCCAGTAGGAATGTACCCTTCCCAAATCCTCTTGAACACTCGTGTACATCCTTCAACCCAGCTCCAAAGACCTCCTCTGCAAAACCTTCTGACACCCCTACTCCCTCAGAGCATACTGACTTCTCACTGTGTTCCAAAGTCCTTAGGTCTCTTAGGCATGACCTATAGCTCAGACACTGCTTGTGTCCAGCTGTCTTGGCCAGCAGGCAGTGAGCTCCCAGAGCGGGCAGGCACCTTGTCTCTCTCATCTGTCACAGTGCCCAGCACAGGCCTGACAAAGGTGCCCACTGGAGGCCTGTTTGACAAATGACAGAACAAAGCCCAATAGGATTCTGTGGTTTTCCTGCTTATGTCTGACTCATTCATTCACCAAACATGAAATGCACCTTGAGTGCACGAGACCCTGTGCTATTTGCAGTCTCTGCCAGAGGCCTGGTCCTTGTCTCACCCCTGCCTTCCAAGAGGCTTTGTGTCTTCCATGGGGGCCCTTCCTCAAGCTTAGCCCAGTGATGTAGAAACAGGAAAGCAAAGGATATGCTGTATTTTCCAAGGATATTTCTTCTGTCCACCACACACACACACACACACACAGACACACACTCACTCACCACCATCCACACCATGCAGGCTCAACATAAAAACCCACCATGAAGCACAGAGCCACCATATGCCCTAGGTGGCTCAATAAATGCCATGTGAAGGGAAGGAAACAGACCCTGCATGGCTTCCACCCCCGTGATTCCCAGACAGACGTCCTATTTTAGTGGATTAACCACTATATCCATCTCCAAGGCACCCAAGCCTCGAGTGAGGGCTGAGGGCTTTGGACCCCATCTTCCCTCTAACTTCCGGTCTCCCAAGTCAGGGCAGATGGGGGCAGAGTGAGCAGCCTCACTGCATGGCACAGAGAGCAGCTATGGCCTCTGCTGTGCTCTCAGCTGCTGAGTGGTGGCCAGAGGGCATGCCAGTCTCCAGCTCCAGGTGGCTAAGCCGATCATTACCCCAGCCCAACCACTCCCTGGTGAGTGATGCAGAAACATCTGGGCTGCCTTCCAGAAGCAGCACTACCAGGTAAACCCTTGGGCAGCAGGTAGAAGCAGGAAGCTGGTGCTTCCAGATGCCCCAGAGGCCCCCAGCCATGCCCCAGCAGTAGGCTGGCTTGGCCAGGACATCCCCAGCTTGAGTGCACTGGCTGCCTAAGCCACACCCAGATCGTGCCAGGCCATGACCAGGCTTTGACCCATGCCCCCGTCTGGCAGCATCCTGCTGAGATGACCCATTTTCCTGCCCAGGCATAGGTGAGAGGAGGCCAAGCTTGAAGAACCAGGGATCTATGCACACCCATTTCCGGGACTCTGTTGCCACAGGAAAAGCCCCGGCTAATCATCTCACAAGGTCCCCCAGCAGCCCATCACACAGATGTGTAAAACCGTGCTGAGGGAGAGAGCAGACCGACCAAAGCCTCCTTGTTTTCCAAGAGGTGGAACCGAGACTTGAACCCCGGGCTATGTGGACCCAACTCAAGCCACCCAGCCCTCACTCCACAGGCTCCCTGTAGAGGGGGGCCTGCTCAGGGTTGAAGGGTCTTAGGCAACCATCCCACCCAGTCCCCTATAAGATGCCTGACCCCACAGCAACCTGGAAGGTGAACTGATGTAACTCAAAGAGCACTGAACTGAGAGTCCAGAGGTCTGGGTTCAAGTCCCGGGTCCACCACAATCAGTACCAGCCCTTCCCTGCCTGGCCTCAGTTTCCCCACCTGCCCAAGACCAGGGTTAGCCTGGCTCAGAGGGTCTCTGGCCCCGTTCTGCGCAGACAGGGCTCTCCATCAGGGATTCCCGAGTGTTTGCTTTTCCCCTACCAGTAACTCATGCATCTCACAACTTGAGGCAGCCTCTCCACGTGGGTCCTGACTCCAAAGATGGAGACCGTCCAGCTGCCCACCAGGACAAGCAACTTGGTCCCCCTTGCAACTCCTAGATCCTCTCGTGGGGTTGGGGCAGGGGCCGAGCCCTCGGGTGGGTGGGGCCGTGGGCTGCTGACTCGGGGGCTACTTAACTAAGACGAGGCGACCCGTAGCGCTGCAGCCTCCCTGTCCCCGCTCCCGTCGAGGGTTCCCACCCAGCGCCGTCGGGGCGGCGCCCCGGGCCACCTGGGGCGGACACGCTGGGGGCGGGGACTCGGGACCAAGCTGGACCTCCTCAGCTGCGCGTCCACGGGGGACAGGGGGGCGCAACCTGGCCCCCAGCATCCGTCCAGACTTTGTTTTTCAGGGGGTCGGAAGGCGGCGGGGGCGGGTGGGGGTCTGAAACTCGCTCCCAAACCCTGTCCCGCGGGTGCTCCTGCCATGGCGGCGACCCCGCCCACTGCGCCCCCTGTCCGCTCCCCCTTCGCGATTCCCCAAGATCACTGACCATAGTGACTGGAGCCGCCGGGCTAGGTCCGGCTCCAGCGAGAAGCGATCCGGTGCGGGAGGTGCTGCGGCTGGCGCGGGCGGGCTCCGCCGCTGGGTCGGGTGGCGGAGACCTCGAGGGCGTGGGGGCAGCGGAGAATACACCCGACCGCTCCGCAAACCAAAGGTTAGACCTCCACTGTGTCCCAGCAAGACACACGCCCCGCGATTGACGTCGCAGGAGAGCAATCAGGAGCCGGGTCGCACGACGTCACAGAAAGTGGGTGGGACTTCACGCTCTTTCAGCCTATGCTTTAGAGCCCATTTGACAGGATGCCTCCCCCTTTTAAAGACACAGAAAGCTTTTAACTAGCCGAGGAGTTAGCTCAACCCAGAAAGACAGGTCCTCGTTTGTAAAGGCTGAAGGGCTTTTGAGGAAACCGAAAATTGGAGTCTTTGGAAGGATTAGCTGGCCCTCATTAATTCATAAACAAGGTCACATAAGTATAGTTTGCACAAGATCAGAGGATAGTCGCTATGGGAACACGTGTCCAATAACATTAAGTGTGGCTTCTATATAATATTTTACCGCCTTCCAACTCATGAATCAGTAGGTTGCCACGCACCCAATTAATGTTTGTTGAATGAATAAATGTCCCGGATCGTCGACTCTGTGGTAGGGATATCCATGAACCAGGTCTAGATGACTCACCTTGCGTACAAGCTCATTATTACTGGACATCAAAATAGGAATATTTATCATTCAAAGATTCATTCACCAGCCCTTGAGTCCCGGAGGAGCTGCTTTGGGTGTGGGAGGGAGAGTTTGTAGGGGAGGTGGACTCAATGCACTGCATGCATCCACTTTAGAATATTAATATTTCCAGGAGGGTGTATTGAGCAATTCCCCTTCCTGCTGCTGCCCCACCACCACCACTGCCCCACCTTACTCGGTAAGCCCCAGGCACCGGGCTAGGCTCTAGGCAAACAGACGTCTGAAACCATGTATCATGTCCTGGGTAGGGAGTGTGGAGTTAATGGAGGCTCCAGGTGCAGTAACAATAACAGCTAACTTTTTACAGTTGTTTATACCGTTATGCAGAAAACTTACTATATATCAGGCGCTATCTCCACAGAACTGGAGAACTGAACTCTCCACAGAATTATTATTATTATTATTTAGATGGAGTCTCTGCTCTGCCGCCAGGCTGGAGTGCAGTGGCAGCGATCTCAGCTCACTGCAACCTCCGCCTCCCAGGTTCCTGGGATTCTCCTGCCTCAGCCTTTCAAGTAGCTGGGACTACAGGCGCATGCCACCACGCCCAGCTAATTTTTGTATTTTTAGTAGAGACAGGGTTTCACCATGTTGGCCAAGATGGTCTCAATCTCTTAACCTCGTGATCTGCCCATCTCGGCCTCCCAAAGTGCTGGGATTACAGGCGTGAGCCACCGCACCCGGGCCAGAATTATCTTACTTAATTTCCTCACAACTAGTTTATGGGGGTAGGTATTGTTAATATTATCCCTATTGTACGATGAGGAAACAGGTACAGAGAGTTAAGTTCCTTGCCTAAGTCCACACAGCACTCAAGTGGGATTCAGTCCCAGGCAGTGCAGTGTGACTCCAGAGCTGGTTTTGAATTCACTCTGCACGAGACAACAGGGGCTGTGTTACCCACCCCTGCCCTTGACCTCCGTTTGCTTTCGGAGGGTTTCTGCTTTTTTTTTTTTTCAGCCAAGGAAGCCAGAAAGGTGACAGGGGCAGCCCAGTGCTGCTGAGCTAAGAAGTGGCCTGGCTGGGCTGGATCCCCAGATTCCTGACTCCCCGACCACTACTCATTCCAGAGGATGTTAGGCTTCCCTCTGCGGAGGACTGGCTGAGCCACGTTCCATGGTGTCTGGGTGCAGGTATGAGTGAAGAGTTTCTGGCCAAGGCTTCAATGAGCCCTCAAGTTGGGCTGCACTAAGCCCTGAGCCCTGGGACCGCTCTCCGCCCTTCCTCAGGTCCCAGCAGTTCCAAACCAAGCCAGCACTGAAGTGTGGAAGGAGCACGGGGCTGGATTCCCTGAGAGATTCTGGGCCCCTGGCTCTGGGCTCTGCCACTCACTGCTTTGTGGCCCCAGGCAATGCCCGGGCCCTCTCCAGTCTTCGGGTTCCTCACTCAGTGAGAGGATTAGACAATCTAGGTGGTTAAAAATGTTTAAAAAAATATTTTTAGTAATGAAGGCTTTAAACACACACACACACACACACACACACACACACATACAATCTTACAAGCATCTCAGTGTATGTATAATAGAATATTTCCTCAAATTTAGCTCAATTAGCAGGGAAAATGTAATTTTAGTCTAACTAATCAGGATTCTTCTTAAGCTCTCTGAAGCCTGGTTAGAAGAGAAAAAAATGTTGCGGAAGGGTTCCATGGGTTTTTGTTTGTTTGCTGTTGTTGTTGTTGTTGTTTGAGACAAGAGTCTCACTCTGTCACCCAGGATGGAGTGCAGTGGTCACCCTGGCTCACTGCAACCTCTGTCCTCCAGGTCCAAGCAATTCTGCCCCAGCCTCTTGAGTAGCTGGGATTACAGGCACGTGCCACCACACCTGGCTAATTTTTGTATTTTCTTTTCTTTTTTTTTTAAGTAGAGATGGGGTTTCACCATGTTGGCCAGGCTGGTAGCAAGCTCTCAACCTCCTCAGGTGATCCACCTGCCTCGGCCTCCCAAAGTGCTAGGATTACAAGTGTGAGTCACTGCACCTGGCCCTGTGGATTTTCAACCTGGGTCCATGTTTAAAATGTAGACAGCGTCTTTAGGGGCTGCTCATGGCAGCATGTCCATGTATCCTGTCTGGAATGAATTTGCTCCCTTCTTCCTGCATCCCTTCTCTCTGTTGTCCAGGTGTCTGGGTGGAGGGGTCTAGGAATGGCAGCTGTCACTTCACAGGTCCAGAGAAGCAGGAGGCCTTGGGTGTCCTATCTTCCACAAAGAACGTGGGTACCTGGGTGCTGGGTGATGGATGCCCAGGATTTGGGGACTGGGTTCTGCTGCCCATGCCACTCACAGTCTGGCCCTTCTCAGCCTGGTCAGACCCAGCGAGCTCTTCCGGGTTGATGTCATTGCCCTCTCTGCAGTGTGGCCCCAACTCACCTCTCTCACCTTCTCTCCCTGACTTCCCCACTTGTCCAATAATACATGAGCTTACAGGGATGGCTTTACGAGCCTGGACTCCTCCTCGTGCTCTTGCACCTCTACGCACCTTTGCTCCTGCTGGAATGTCCACTTGTCAAATACCAACCATCCTCCTCATCCACGAGGCCCTCCCAGATTGCCCAGATGGTCATGAATCCCTTTGAATGTCCCCATCATGTCTGTCCTCCTTCGGTGCCGATCCCTTTGGAGGGAGCAGTGGGACATAGTAATTATGAGTGTGGGCAGTGAAGTCAAGTATGTTCATACCACCCTTCCCATGGCATTACTCTTTGAGCAAGTCATACCTCTCTGGGCCTCAGTTTCCTCATCTGTAAAGTGGGAATGTTCATTCCTTATCAAAGATTACATGAGATGATAGTGGAAAGTATTTAACATTGTACTTGGCATTCAGTAAGTGCCTAATAAATGTGGGCTTTGCACAGAGGCTATTCGGGGCCTGAGTCTCCTTCCTCCTGGTGTGACAAACTCTAAAGGGGATAAGGTCACCATGAGGCCTGAGTCTCGTGGCTTCTGTTAGCTGGTATAGATTTGCATGTGACAGGGAGGAGCCCCACCAAGGATGGTGTCTGAGTGTCTGAAAAGGGTGTTGTCTGCCATTTCCCTAGATCAATGGCATGAAGCTATGTCAGAGGGATTTCAGGCAGCCACACCATGCTGGCAAGAGTGGCCATTTTCCTGATGCTGATTATGTGCTATTTTATTCACTTGATAGCGCCTTCCCCACCCTGCCAGCTGTGGGCAGAGTGCTTGGTAAGAAGACTGGGCTCCCAAGATGTAAAGCGCTTCACCTCTGTGCAGAGTGCAGGCTCAGCTCAGACTGAGTTTCCTCTGCTGGGTGCCAGCACTCTCCTCCGGCAACCTTAAGCTGGAAAACTTGAGATACAAAGTCAGGTGCTGTTTCACTGCTGGGAAAGATCAGAAAGAGGAAAAGCTAGAATGAGCCCTCCCTTCACTGCTTCCAAGCCCCAGTCCCAGAGAACAGAGCTGGGTGCTGGCGCTGGAGCCGATGGCTGTCCTGGTTCCCACCCTCAGGGGCAAAGGTGAGAAAGAGGCTTTTGTTTTTGAGAAAAGAGGATCTTTCTAGGAAGAACAGTGGGTTTGGGGGGATTAGGGAATGGGGAGGTGGATCCAGCTGAGTAGGGAGAAGTTTCTGGAATCCAGGAAAGGTAGAAGCAGGTGTCCTGGAACAGAGGAGACTCATAGTGCAGCCCAGTGACTCCTCATTCACAAACCACTTGTGGAACCCTGAGAGGACAAGCCTGTATTGTGTGAGGGAATTCGAGCCCTGGCATGGTGGAGACTCCTTTGTCCTTCCCTTGGGGGCATGTTTTGGGCAAGGGGCATAGCCACAAGGCAAAGGCATTCATTCAACACTCCACAAAGAGTTACTGGACATCTACTAGGTGACAGGCACCCACTGCACATCCCTGCATGAAACTGACAAAAGTCACTGCTGTCACTCAGCTCACATCCTCCTGGGAAATAACCTCCAGTTGTTCTGCACTAAGTTGCCCGGACCAGGCCACCTCAATGCGGTTGGGGGTGAGGATGGGGAGGGAGTTCCCCCAAATAACTGAGGCTTAATTTTCCACCAGCCCAGGGATACAGGACATACAGTGAGTTCATTTTTGAGAGGAGAAACAAAAGAACCGTGGGATTTCTTGAACCCCCAGAGAGGGCTCCAGAGTAGGCATGAATGGCTTTTCAAGTGTGAGGCAAGGAAATAGGGAGAAGTCATTTTACAAGGCTGGGTTAGGACCATGGCACGGCCCCCTCTTCAGCTTACCCACAGCCCCAGGAGGGTAATAGATGGGCCCATTTTCCAGCCAACCACCCCTTTATGGGTTATCCAGGGCCTGGGTTTTGAAAGCTAGCGTTTTTCAGTTCACATGGCAAATGCATGTGCCCTGTGCAGCCTCCTGGGCTGGGCAGAAAACCATCTCTAGTTTCTATGGGAGAAGGCGCATTTGCTGTGGTTTTCAGAAAGCCCAAGGCCTGTAGGAGGTCCCCAGGTTTGGAGAGAGCTGCCTGT